AACAGAATGCTGTATCTTCTTGATTATACTTCGAATTATTGATAATTAAGGTATTTTATAATAACTCTTACAAAATTATAAATTTTACCTAGAATTGTTGGTTGATACAAGACTATTAAGTTTATTGTTAATATAATAGCTCGTATGGTCAAAGTTGAAACTTGAAAGTTACATAAACTACAGCATCATATAAGGTACTTTTATGAGACTGTCATCTATAAAAACTCAGCTGTGTAATACAGCGCATGAAATCTTTTTCATCCAACATACCATATTCTGAAAAAAATACTGAATGTACAACAAAAGATTACACGACGTACCTAATCTGGAAAATCCCCAAAGGAAAAAAGTGTACAAGAGCCGTATTACGTTGCACATACGATGAATTCCAAGCGGATGCACCACAACGCGTCGCGCAACGATCGAAAATCGGCTTAAGCGGGCATCGTGTCTTTCGTGCGGCTGTCATCCTCAGCCGTCGCTCCTTAAACCCTCGGATGCTAATTATGAGGCGCAGGCGAAAAAGGGAGCTCGCTGACAATCCCCTAATAGTCAGAGCAGAGGGTGCTGCTGGGCTTCACGTTATGCGTGACACTTTTCTGGCTTTGCGGCTTCCAGTAATGGTGCTTGCCGAAGGTTTGTTTTGAAATGCCGGTGATCGGTTAGTACGCGTCGCTAGAGTGGCTGGACAAGTTCGGATTTTTCAAGCAATTGTTTATCCAATGAATCGCAGTATCAACGACCGCAGCAGAGAAAGGAAATGAACTCAATTTCATTTCCGTCGCCTAACTTACGGCGTAATTTTTGCAGGAAGGAAAGCGCCGAGACGGAAAAGAAAGGAGAGGGAGCTATGCAACCTTAGAGCTTTCCTCGCGGGCACAAAAGAGGCTTTGCAGTCCTCGAAGGTTCGGGGAAACAGAGCGCAATTAACGTTGGAAAGCCGACAATGGCGCTAGCAAATTTGCAAAGCCATTTCAAGTTTCCTCTCTCGTCGACAGCGCCTCCTTCGACTTTTCTTCGTCCACGGCGAGGCGCACTGTTTAATAGTTCGGCTTGATTGGATTCGCCGGACCATGCGTAACGACGTTGGTAAACTTTGCGGTGGCACTTGACGCTTCGCGCGCACCAACTTCGATCGAGCAGCGCCGACCGACGCCTCCGCGAGAGTAGTATTTAGTCGACGTTTTAATCGAGTGCGGTATACGCTGCGGCAGCACAGTTCGATTCTTTTTTAATCAAGTGTGGTTTTGGCAAGCATTGTTGACGCTATAATTGGCTTGATTGAGATTTTTCCGAGCAACAGGGATTATTAATATGACTGCCAATCAATTATCGCCACAATTTTAATTGTCTTTGGCAATTTTTATTTTAAATAATACTTTACTCTGATTTGTGTCTGTCAATTTCAACCTTGAAACCCAGGAGGTACACTTGCACTCATTGTACCTGCACGCTCGCGCTTATTTAAAATAGTATCTTCTCCGGTGCTTATTTTTATGCTATAACGACGAGCCCTACGCATTCCGTACGTGTTCGCTAAACGGCCAGTTCGAATGAAATGCAGATCAATTTCGATGCGTTTCTCTACAACTCGGCTTCTCCATAGTATCTCCGACATTTCTCTCGAAGGCGTACATAACCGATCAACTGCCAGACGAAGAAAAATGCGGCGTCGCGAGAAAGCACACAGCTACCCGTCCAGCGCAGCGCAGCGAGAAAAGAAAGAGAGAAAACGTTCGGTACGCGGTATGGTCTCGCTCGGTCTCGCGCAGATTCAAATAAATTGACGAAATTGGCATCCGTCTTTCGCTCCCGCACGGTGTGTGTCAGCCTTCCATCGCCCGCCTCCCCACTACTGGCATCGGCGCGTCTGTCTGCCACATGTATAGGAAACACCCACTGGGGCGTCGGCTTCAGCCAATAGGCTTCCGATGTCGACTTGGCGGGGATAAAGTAGGGGAGAGTAAAAGTTGCATCCCATCTCTCTCTCTTTCTCTCTCTCCGGGTGCAGTTGGTCTTTTTCTTACTTTACTTTGCCCAGACGCAGCGGACGGAGCAAGTGCGTCGGACGCGAAGAGACGTTTTTTTGCCGACAGTCCGCGAGCTCGCGAGTGAAAGATATATCTATAGTGTATTCCCGCTGGCCAAATGCGGTGGACTATGGTGTGTGTTATGTATTTTTTTTATATAGTATATGTGTATATGTACTGTTTACTTTGGCGCTCGAGGTTGGTTTTTTTTTATTTTTTTTGGTCCTGGTATTTTTTCGTAGTTTGTAATACTGTGAATTCATTGAAGTAAAAGACTTTTATAAAATCAGTTCAACATCGAATATAAAATGTACTGTAGAAAATTCCTTTTGACTTTTAATGTTATATGGCCATCAAAAACTTGTAATGTTGGTCAATGACATGCTGTAAAATATTTGCGTTTACTTTTTATTCAGATATTTCTAGTAGTTATCGAAAATATGATAATAAATTATATTCAGGAGCTTTTTTTGTTTATTTTTTATGTAATCGTGTTAGAACTCTTTTTTTAAATCATTAACCTATTAATATTAAATTTGTGGTTCTTGAAAAAGATTCGTTAACACTATTGTTTCATTTAATTAGTATATAAATGCATTTTACGATAATATTTTTCATAATCCTGCATGATTTTTTCAACTTAATTTTAAAATATTTCTAAATAAAATTTATACTATTTCAGTTTACAAAACGAAGAAATATACTATATACAAATAGTAGATTTATTATTAGAGTAAATCGTATATATTGTATTATTTGTTTTTTCTACAAAGCAAACTGTGACATCGTACTGAACAACAATGCATTACATAAAGAAATCACGTATTCCTATTCAATCCTCACAATATTCCCAATGGTCAAACTTACCTGTCAATCAGAATTTAGGGAATCAACATCCCGTAACACGCCCCCAATTTTCCGTACGATTCGGCCACTTAACAAAGCCGCGAGAGCAATCCCCTGCGTACAACGTATTACGAGAGTTGACCCTTACATATATTGCCACGTTAAAGCCGCTAATCTAAGGGACGACAACAAAAGCTTTAGCTAGCCGCGCGACTCAAGAGCGAAGATCTTAAATACGCCGAATGATCGACAGTTACACGCGGTGCTTTTGTGTTTACATACCTCCTTTTTCTGGTTGGCTTGCGTCAAAACATGATTATTCTTATTTTCATAAAAATAGAATTTTTTTTTTATTTGGTATCGACAAATTAATACATACATAGAAACAAAAGGAAGTTTAGTAATTGTAAAACTGAAAGATATGCTATTCCCCTGTGATTAAGGGCACGGCTTCGAGCCCGCAGGGACAATTGACAAGTTACAACGATAGGCGGGGCTGCGGTGATGTGCCGTATGTGATTCTTGTGTACTCACGTATGCCAACGCAACGTCTGTTTTGGGCCCAGTCAACTTGAAAGTCGTTTTGTATTTTTCCCTTGCTTACATAAATCTTCCGAAGATGAAAAAGTGACAAATAAAATTTAAAACATTTCACAAATTCAAAATTCGTGGAACCTCACAAAACCGCAAAAAAAACAGTAACATGTTGATGTGCATCGTCGATGCGGGTCCCTTTTTATAATTATAGCCTATATATAAATGGCGAAGCAGTGACGTCGTCCGCACACCGAAATTGAATAGTCAACGCACCAACTAAATTATCATTGACGTTTCTTAGGCGCACAAGAGACGATAGATAGATTTAAATTTGCTCGCGCGGGGGAGCAGCAGAAACAGGCAGAAAGGAGATTAAATTACGCGTGAACATATGCCACTTGAACGCTCTATCATCAGGCACGCACGTTTTGGAAAATTGTCGTCGTTGAGCACTTGAACAGCACGGAATAATTTAACGGTATCTTAAATAACTTCCCCCTTTTCTTTCTCTTAAAAAAACCGCAAAGCAGTAATCCGACGGATCGCAAACTCATCAACCCAGGGGACAATGAGACCTTAGGGGGCCATTTCCTCGGCCACGTAGATTAAAAAAAAAACGTTTACTATTTGCTTAGCTTTCTCTCGTGAGAGAGAGAGAGAGAGAGAGAGAGAGAGAGAGAGAGAGAGAGAGAGACAGAGAGGGAGAAAAGACTAGCTGTAGTAGTAGCAGCAGCTTTTTTCTCTTTCCTTGCAGACGGCATTCAATTCCACTCGCGCGCGGTCGTCATTCCAAGCTCAAATATAACGCCATTCCGTGGAGCAAACATTCGCCCGACGCACACATACACTGTGACGGATGACCATTTTGCAATCTCTCATTCAGTCAGTTGAGCTATTCAACGACTCCTTGCTATACGATTGAAACGACGATCAACCCTGTCTCTCTCTCTCTCTCTCAGTTTTTGGAAAATGAAATAACTTGTAATTTCGTTATATATTCCAGGCACATATTTTCTTCAATCAACATTTTTCTTTTTGGTGATAGAGAAAGCAAGGTTAATAAACAGTCCAACCCCTATGATTTCGACATTTTTTTTCCTCTTCCGTCAACGCACGACGAGGGCCAATTGAGCGAAACGCGCGCATGTGTCGCACGCGTTGTATACTTACCGAAGCATGTGGGTTCCGCTCTTGACGATAAACGTATTCTACTTTTGGCTGAATAGATTGAGAGACGCATTGATTTGCCAAACCGATGTAATCGTTTTTGTAATCGTTTCTCGCAGAGATACTAAAAAATGACGACAGTAGATGCGTTTAATTGATTCGACTTTTTTTAAATTAAACTATGTGAGGACTGATTTATCTTACGAAATCATGATGTATTGTACGAAAATATACGAACAGAGCAATTAAAAATAAAGCTTGCGAGTGTAATTAACCAACACTCGACATGCAAATTGTATTCAAACTACCTAGTACATGGATTTAAAGTGAAGCTTGCTCACTTTTTTCCATGAATATAACGATCTAATTTACGTAATACCCTTGGAATCAACATTAATTCCTTTATTTTCTTTGTTACAGATTGACGCTATGCAACCATTTTCATCAAGCCAATCAATGGCAACGGAAACACCGACGAGTTTGCCACCCGACAGGGTCAGCTCGCCAACGCCATGTCGCAACTTAACCTTTTCCATTGCCAAAATTATGGAACCGGACAAACGATTGACAGAATCGAGTCAACCACAATCAACGGCAACTGTAGCACTATCGCCATCGACAACTTCATCACCGACAATACTTCATCAACCTACCGCGCCAAGTTTGTCGTTAAGTTATTCGGCGCATCTGGAGTCTGCATTTAAAAAATACGTGCCAACGTTCAGGCATCATCAGAATCTCTTACAGTACTATCCGTTACTTCATCATTACCACTCGAATCCATTGTTAAGGTCGTTTCCTAGTCCATCACCTGCTTCGACGACGACACCAAATTCAACGTTAAACAATCGTACACCACCACCGATACATAAGGAGATGTCGAGGTTGTCATTGTCGCCAGGTTCACCAAAGGAAAGTAGCAGTCGTGAATCGAAATCGAAAAGTGCGTCACCAAGGGATTCGTCAGTTAGTAGTAATCCAGCGAAACAAAAAAGTTTCACTTGTTTGGAATGTGGTAAAGTGTTTAATGCTCATTACAATCTCACGAGACACATGCCAGTACACACTGGCGCTAGGCCCTTCGTTTGTAAGATATGTGGCAAAGGATTTCGACAAGCAAGCACACTGTGCAGGCACAAGATCATCCATACATCGGAAAAACCTCACAAATGTCAGACCTGTGGAAAAGCTTTCAATCGCAGTTCGACGTTGAACACTCACACGAGGATTCACACGAATCACAAACCGTTTGTTTGCCAGTACTGTGGCAAAGGTTTCCATCAGAAGGGTAACTACAAGAATCACACGCTAACGCACAGTGGTGAGAAAGCCTTCAAGTGTAACATCTGTAACAAGGCTTTCCATCAGATCTACAATCTCACTTTTCACATGCACACGCACAACGACAAAAAACCTTTTAGTTGCAAGATCTGTGGCAAAGGGTTCTGTCGGAATTTCGATCTTAAGAAACACATGAGGAAACTTCACGATACCGGCTCGCCTATACCACACAGTGGACTTGGCAATTCGAGTCCAGTACAACAATCGAATTACTCAGCGGTGCATCATGGACCGACGGCGCATGCTTTCGTAAGTCCTTTTCTGTTACCACCGCCTGGATCCAATAGTTATCTTAGCAAGATGTTGTGACAGGAAAACGTGAATTTTGGAGCTGTTGGGAAAGGACAGTGCCCGTTGATTCTTGCACCACATTGTTATCCTGCTGATTTAGGTGCGTTGGTGCAATCCTCCAAGTGAATATTATATATTAGTGATTAGCAAGATACTTTATAAGGACAGTGTCGCAGTGACGTTGCGAACAGTCAACAACCAACTACCTCAATTCGTCATCTACGACGCGCGTCGATGATGTGTATAAATTCAATCGCTTTGATTTTATGTTTATTAACGACCACGTTTGTTACAATATATATATATATATATTGTATATATATATATATATATATATATATATATATATATATATTGTAACAGTCCAGTGAAAGGCATTTTTTTGTAATGGAGTGCATCCATCATTTTTGTCGGATTTATTGTTAGCTGAAATTAATTGTTCTAGTCGCGGTCTGTGAACGCAACAATCTTAAAGACTGCGTAATAATATGAGGTAGTATTTTACGCTAACACGTGTTATTTAGCAAAGTTGTTTCTTGAAAAACAGAATTTTAATCTAAATGTGGTTATTTTGATTGTGTACATATCTGCAGTTTATATATTGAATGAACATTCTTTCATCCATTGTAATTCTTAATTCGTAATTTATAATGATGCAAATGTAAACATACATTTTCCATGAAATCAATAACTACGTGTAAACAAAATACATATCTGTAAGTTCAAATAGCTACAAATAATCAACTGGATATGACACATGACAGATTGGCTAATGAGAGAGATCAAATGTATTATATAATTACGTTTATAAATATTTGTACATATATTTATTTATATATATTATACATTCTGGTGAAATCGACAAAAACAATATTACGTAGATAAATAATATAGTGATATGTCAAATTGGAATATCAATTTTTATCAATTTTATTCATTATTGCGCATTAATATATTACTATCATTTTATTATCGTATTGTATCAAATTTTGTCATTTTCATAGTAAAATGTTTTTGAATAAAGTAAACAGTTTAAAACTTAATAGACTGCACTGATGAAAAATAAGACACAAAAAAATGTTTAATTTATAAAAGATGTATACGTTGTGGATGCCAAAATATTCCAGTTTGACTGTTACCGCTTCGTTTTATTTTACACACTATGAAACGTTTTATTTTTAAGATGCTTGAATAAAATTACAAGCGACACTTGTATAAATTGGTGTGATAGTAGTTCGTAAGTATCAATGATTGAAAAAATATCGGCTGTTATTTAATACCGATATAATCGAGTGTATAATTCGAAGACTATGTCTGCAATATTGCGAAAAAACGGATAACTTATTAGTAAAATTTCATCTAATTCCCACTGTATAAAAAATACATAGAAACATCGTTTTGTATATTTAATTCTTTATATGTTGATACGCCATTATACATTGTTAATTAAAGCGTGTTTCAATAAATAAAATAACAATTCTCTCACAAATTTTAATCAATTAATACAAATGTAATAATTGTTTATTTTATGCTCGCATTTTCTGACGTCCAATTTCGTTACGATATAATTTTATTGACACGCTTGTATAAGTAATAATACCAACGACAGTGTATCGCAATTGAGACTCCGAAAGTGAGCCCTTATCAGGATCCATCTTCGTAAATGCTTTATGTACGATGAAATAGATAAAGTTTAATCGATTGGCAAAAATTTCACACATCAATGAAATCGATTCATGTATTTCAACGAAGAAGTTAAGGCGTCCAACTGGCGTTAAACTATAAAAATTGTAAAATTTCTTTACTGTGCTGTAAACAACTTTTATTAATGTTGCCATTATGAACATTTTTTCCTCATATAGTACTTGGTCAACGCTTCGATTTTCTTCGTTTTAAGCTCAAAAATCTCAATTAAGTGTTCTATAAAGTCCCCTCAACCTTACTTTTTAAAATAAAAGTGATTTACCATACTTTTCTGTATGTTAGAGTAAATGAAAATCATTTTGAAAAGGCTCATTTTATTCCTTTAGATTTGTACTCCAATTCAAGTGAAGAACTTTTCGAAATAATCGATTTTATCAATTTTTATTAAAACTTTTACGATTGTTCTTTCAAATTTATTTTTGATAAATTTGCAAAAGTTCTCGTGAAAATAGTAAAATTGACTATTTCGAAAAATGATGTTCTAAAGGTAAAAAATGAGCCTTTTAAAATGATTTTTGTTCACTCTAACCTTCAGAAAAGCATGGTAATTTCTCTAAAAATAAAGTGTTACAGCTAAAGAGATTCTCTATGGCATCCAATTGAGATTTTCAGACCTGAAACAACGAAAATAAAAGCATTTATCGAGTACTACATAATGAAATAATGTTCATGATGATAACTTTAATAGAATTTGTTCACAGCACAGTAAAGAAATCTTATAATTTTCACAGTTTAACGCCAGCTGGTCCTCTTAATGCATGAGATAATCGACGTAGAATAGACAATTAAAATACGCATATATGTATAATGTATGTGTCTCCCGCTGTAAATATGAGTTAACTCAATGCAATAAAATCATAAGCACATGAATCCATTAAATAATATTGCATATTTCAATTTGTCCTTGAGAACCTTCATTTTCCCGTCAACTTTTTTTCAAAAGCTTCTACTATTATTTTTCAAATCTCACCAAAAATCTTGAAAAATTTACGATTCAACCCACTTTTCCGCAGACTATTATCACTTCACCTTTAAAAAAACAGCGCACAAAGGCTCTGTAAAGACATCTAGATCTTTAATTCAAAACACGCAGCGTATCATTGCAATCGAGCTCCTCAGGCATATATACTCGAAAGGCATCATCATTAAAAATCACGATCAGCACAACACGATGACGCCTTTGAGAGAGAGAGAGAGAGAGAGAGAGAGAGAGAGAGAGAGGGAGACAGAAGAGAGCGAGACAGAGAGAGCAAAAAAAGGTCGAGTGATCAAGAGGCGACGTGACTGTAGGTCCGATCGTCCAACAAAGATTAGAGCTGATGCATTATCTGTACTTCATCCATTAGGAGAGTGAGAGAGCTGACGCGCATGATATCGAGCATACATAGACACATTGATGGGTTTAATGGAGATGGCTTTGGGCATGTAAGTACCTACCTCGATGCAATGGTGATGGGAGCAGTATAACCGAGATTGGCGTTGGCGCAGTTTGATAGGCTATTGATTTTGCTAGGGTTTTGTAGCTAATTTTACTCTGAGTAATAATTATCTTTTTATCGCTGCAATTTAACAGAAGTAATCGATGTGTTTTCAATAGCTTTGAAAAAATAGAATATCATTAGAAAAATCGAGTAATTGAAAATTGTGTGAATTAACTACCTTCGTAGTATATCTTTGAATAGTACCTCAGTCACTTTCAGTCGGGTAAGTGCCAATGATTTAGAAAACAAATACTAGCAGATGTTCGAATCATTGAACGCAAAATACTTGATAAAAAGAATCTAATCCAACTTTCTTGATGAAAAATTGTAAAGTGCAGTAACAATGTTATAAATTTGTTCTTGATGACGCATGACGAACGTCCGATTCAAAGGTAATGAAACCTTGATTATACTTTTATCAGGGTTGAACCGATTCCCGTCGAAATTTTTCCATCAGGATTGCTGTCAATTCTCCAAATTGTAGACGGATTCGCAAACAATTCTCGATATATCACATGATTATGTTACATACTGCAACGTTGCTTCGTTAAAAATAAAAAGAAGTAAAAGTCGACAATAGTCTCGTAGCATCTATATGAAACTGCTGAAAACTCGTCGTAAAGAGGGGGGGGGGGGGGATGAGAGAAAATCTCTGGCGTTACTCGTTGCGAAATACAATAGCCGTGGTGACAAAGAGTTCACGCCCCCGAAAGTTGCGCTCGCGCGCCCGCAAACAAGCGCAGTAGTAGAGAGACGTTTAATGGGAATTACCCGGGAGCCAGAGGCTCACAATTACCGCCGGATTATTAACACCTGGATCTGGCGTCATGCTGCTTCTCCCTCACCCTCGAAAAACTTTCTCGAGATGCGCGCCAACTCGGACTCGTTCTAGCGCGATTCCGGTTTCTGTGTGTATATATATATATGCTTCTCCAGGGATTTTCTCGCAGACTCGGGCTCAAATACTCGGTTGAAAATTTCTCGAACGGGCCACCAGATGGCATTACCTCAAATGCTAGTAGAACGATTACGGATATGCCTTAAACGAACATCGAAAGAACCACTCAACAAAGACTTTATTTGCATCCATTCCAAATTGTTATTTTTGAAAAACTGATCTTTCTTTGTGCGATTGATAAAATAGAAGAATCGCAAAGTTTATGCGTTATATATCGCGTCTCTATCTCTCTCTCTCTCTCTCTCTCTCTCTCTCTCTCTCTCTCTCTCTCTCTCTCGTTCGCCCGATAAATCCCAAACGATAATAATAAACCCCCCGTGGATATAGTTCGCACCTCTCGACAACGTACACCTACACGCGCGAAATAATCGCACATGCAATATAGACGCCCCCTCACCTATTTATAATTGCCTAAAACCCGTAACTAATGAGTACGAACTGTAAATTATCGGACGTCTAGTTAGCACCCCTTGGTCTTACTCGTGCGAGCGTTCGATCGGGCTATACAACGTTTTGATACTCCGACGTATGGGTTCCGAGTCAGGTGTATTCCAGCTCCTCTTTTTTCCTCGAAGACAAAGGTCGCGCGCGTTCGCATAAAGTCCCGGAGAAGGGAAAAATAAGAACGATTTGCGGCACCCTCGCGCAGTCAATAAAAGCGTGCAAGCTCGCGCGCGCTCTCACGCCTCTCGACAAAAGCTCCGCGCGTCTCGTTCTCCCCGCGTCGACGGCGTGAAAAGTTCGAGACTCGCCTTGCCTTTGTGCCCGGCCTGCCTGTCCCCCACCTCTCCGCTCTGCCGAGCGATGGAATCCTTCAGAGGCGTCGAGCCATATTTAATGGGGTATAAGCTATGGCACAATGATCATCGAGACACCTGATGTGCTTTCTCCCCTTGCTGATTAAAAACTTGAATTCATCTTTTCGTCATGTTTATAATACGGTGATAGGAGGTTTTGCCAAATCTTTTGCAATATCCTTTATTTCTGAGGTGTCATTTGGTTTTTACTTCGGACACTAGATGGCTAATTATCGTTAAACTTACGTAAAAGATGGTACACAGTTTCTGTACTATTAATTTTGTTAATTTGTGATTCATCGAAGATTTTCTGAATCACCTGCATCATGA